GACTATCAAACTCCAAGGCCCACACCTACCAAAGTGCTATCTTCTGAAGGTTCCACTTCCTTCCCAAAGAGCACCAGTTGTTAAGGACTAAGCATTGAAATGTTTGAGCCACTTTCAAACAACAGCAATGGCCTCCTCCTTGGATACATACTCCGTGAGTGTAGCTGATACACTGAATAGGCTATACCTGGACAGTCCCCTTTGTTTGAAATCAAGGACATGAAAAATCAAGTCTACCTTATAAAAATATGTCTGTGCCCTGTTGATTAAACCCGTAGTTCAACAGGTGAAAGCCTGAGTTTTTTAGTGATATTTTGAGCTTACTACAGTCTGCTCTTCCCTGAGCATGTTCGGAGTTTATGCAGTAACTGCACTCTGCAGTCCCGGAAGGGCCGCTCTAATAGTAAGCTTTATGAATAACATGCAGCGCAGTCATACATGATGATTGACTGTACCATATCTAGACTCTCCCTCTCGCATACTCTCTGCACTGGACTTCCATAAATAGAATACCCCAGTCACCAAATACAGCCTCTTTGTGCCTTTGCTGTTTCTGCGTGAATGCTATTTCTCTAATTCTGTACTTCTAAAGTCGCTCTCATCTTTTAGGACCCATTTTGTCATATCCTGTATGAAGTTTTCACAATTCTTTTATTTAATTTTTTTGTGTATTTGAATCTTGTTTAGTTCTTTAACAGCTCATTCTTTTCTAAGACAAAAATGCACAAGACTTCAACCATTGACCCAACCATGAAGTCTTGCAAATACTTAACTCTTTTGCTAGACAAATCCCTATCAAAGTATGATCATGCCTTTTATCTAACATTTAACTAGCTTCTTGGGTTGATTATTTTCTTATATGTCCACCTCACTAAATTATAAGGTTTAATGAGTAAAAAGGTAAACCCCATGACTATTTGTCTCCTGAGCAAAAAAAAAAAAAAAGAACAACACATCGTATACTATGTGTTCAGCACTAAACCTGTCTCGTGTTTATATATTATATATAGTTCATCTCTTTTCTTTTAGAAATCCACAGAACAGTGGACAGTGGTTAGCCAAGATAAATGGTTTCTTCTTCATAAAACTAAAATTGAAGTACGGGATGTCCAGACCTGACCTAGCAACTTCAGTGTCAAGGGCCTAAACTTCTTCATTCTTGTTCTTCCTTTTCTGGGAGCCTTACCACTACATCATTCCATCCAGCTGAAAGTTGAAATAAATGACAAAGACAGCTTTTTGATAATTACACCCATTTGAGAGTGTCCCTCATCAATACCTGCTAAAAAATGAGAACCTAAGAGGAGGTGATTGGTCACAGTGTTTGGATTTGAGCATGTTTAATTCAATGAAAAGTATTTTCCTGGAGGGTGATAATTTTTTTCAAAAAGCACACCAAAATGTAATTGACATGTAATTCTACCCAGAGACCTTCCTTTTCCTCTGGTCAATGTCACTAATGTAGCACACATTTCCCTTCTTGGTTGAATAAAATGTAACATTTATTTATTTGTATCAACCAAACTGATTGAATTAAATGATGTATCATTTACTTATTTGTATCACCCAAAACTTAATTTCTCAGCATATATAGCTATATTTTAATTAAAAACATATTTTTAAGATGAGATAATTTTGGAAGGAAACTTGTTAAGACATAAGCTATAAAAGAAAGTAAAGCAACTGGTTATTAGGACCAATTATTTACAAGGAGACAGAACAACAGGATCTCTAAGGGTAGGTCAGACACTCCATCCTGCAAAGAAGCTCAGTTATGACAGGAAGTAAACAATTGAGAATAGCTTCAGGAAGTCCCTGAAACTGACCAGATTCTCTAGTCCTCTCTTTCCAAAAGTATGTGAATAGTAGACTGCTTAGAGTCACTGACAGTCTAGCCAAGCTTAAAGAAGATTCTGGCCAGCCCAACAGCCTAGAAGAAGCAAGGACCAGCCAAGCAATCTGAAAGAAAAAGGACCCCAGCTGAACTGTCTGGAAAGGGTCAGACCAATGGAGCCACCTGGAAGGGACACCTTCCAACCTGTTGAGCTGCCTATAGGCTGTGCAGTATGCTCCAGGTTTCCAAGTTTTGTGAGCTATCACCCAAGCTGGGATAGGCTTTGTTGTCCTTGAGTCATTTCTGTAAGAACCACAGCAAAACTCATTGATTTACCAAGTTGAACTTTGGTGGTATCTGTACTTTTGTCTGTCACAGGCTTCCTATTTGGGGTGAGTGGAAGTGTATATTGACTCTCCTCAGGAAAAGTCTGTCCACATAATGGTAACCAGTTAGGGAACTCGTCCTTGGTGAGGCCAATTCTCTCTCTTTCTCTCTCTCTCTCTCTCTCTCTCTCTCTCTCTCTCTCTCTCTCTCTCTCTCTCTCTCTCTC